CAGCATTCAAGGGTGGTTCACATCCCTGTGCAACGCCGTCGATGGCAATGCTGTTGCAACAACATCTGGAGCTTCTTCCACAGCTACCAGCGGTTCATCAAAAGGCTCAAGCAGCAGCGGCAATGGTGGAGACTGGTAAGCTTGCTGGCTTTTCACGACTTGACTGATTGCTAACACCTCGCAGGCTCTCCAACCACTGGAGATGGGTCGTCATGCTTGTCATTCTCGTCGTCGCCATCGCTGGCATCTGGATCGGTGCTTGCATCTGGCGCCGCCGCTACCTCAGGAGGAAGGATCGCATGTACGAGCTTGGCAAGCACGCTCACAAGGGCCCCAGTGGTATTATCGCTGGCTCCGGCGTCGACGTCAACCATGCCGGTCTCGCCCAAGGACCCGGCTCATTTATGCCTGGACCTGGCCCTGCCGCTTATGAGGAGAAGCCCCCCAAGGAGAAGAAGAAGTGGGTTGTCAACGAGCGGACGTAGACGACCCGCAGGATACGTGTAGCAATATTCTTCAACACTATCCCTCAACGGCTTACGAGACGGCGTTTCTATCTTTTACGGCATTTGGTGTCTGGATATCCATTCACGTTGTTCTTGGGCAAGACTCGTGCTTTCTTTTTTGCTCATTATAGGCGTACGGCAGGAAACAGGAGGGTCTGTTTGTTTTGTTGGAAACAAATCATTGGTGGTACATGTCCCTTTCATCAGGCGGGTTTCATGGGGACGTCGTTGGACATTTGCAGGGGAAAACCGGCACCCAAAATCCACATCACAGGAGCGGCCCGAGTCCACCACCTTTGGCATGCGGGTTTAGACTACGGCCAGGCGGTGGTCTTGAGGCCAGCTCGGCATCCAAAAATGATAATTTTTATACCTCTTCATCGGCATTGGACACGTCCATCTGACAGTTTGCATTGTTTCGTTTAATGATTCGTGCACCTCACTGACTCGACAAGGCATTGTTTGCTGTTGCAAGTGTCATTTTATTTTTCCTCTTTTCTACCTCTGCAGACCGGGGCCGGCTTGCGGCGGGGGACCCTCCCGACCGTCCGAGCGGGCCGATCAAACTGATCAAACGGATTGTCGCGGTGGGTTTGCGACAACCCTGTGCTCTTCCTTTGACACCTGCAGCGTCGTAGCAGGGAGCTTTGTTGCGGTGTGGGCTCGGGGGCCTGGACCCTTTCTTGCCATTTTTTTTCTGTAGTGTCTGGGATCGTGTCGGGCTGGGGGTTGTGAGGCAGCTTTGTCGGAGCTGACGACGGCTTCACTACGTAGTAGATATGAGATGTAAATTTTTGGTGTATTTGCGCTTGAACTCATGTTTTTAAACGCTGGAGACGTGGATGTGGGAATCGCGAGGGAGTTCTTAGCTGGGGTGTGAAGTTTCGTTTTCCTCGAGGTTGATTTGTAGGGGATGGGTTGTCGATTGCTGAGCTGAAATCTTTTATTCTTGGGACTTCCTATAAAAAGTTTCGGGGTTGAGAATGAACTGCTTTTGCTGCAACAATCCAGCGTGGTCCTTATGCGAGTAATGGCGTGGCGGCTACTGGTTTCGAAGTAGTTGTCGGGGCTGGCTCACTTCTATCAAGTTTGCACATGCTCGTAGTGGGGAGGGAGGTTTGGGTTAGGGACTTGTTGTTCTATCACTTCCTGAGTATTGGCGGATAATAGCTTTGTGGAGAGGACATTGAAGGGCAGAGAAGGTTGTCGAAGCTGGCGGTGGTTGGTGATCGATGTTGTGCTCACCGCCTGAGTTTCATTAAGCCTTTCAGATGTCTTGAGCCATTTACAAGGGAACCGCACGCAAATATCGGCCTTGCTTCACCATCGACGGATAGCCTTTAAATACGTAGAGCCGTGTATGGTGCTTGGTCTTCAAGGGGTTGACACCGCGATGGAGAGGTGGCATAGAAGATTAGGTGACAAGGATGTCGGTGCTGTTTTGGCGTCTGAAATCCGACCACGGGGTTGGGTAGCCTTTGGAGAATCTCATGTATTTAAGGAGGGAATCATATCTCGGATCATAGCTGCTCGACACGCAACAGCAATGAGATCTGGCCTAGCTCAACAATTAGACCTGTATGACGCAACGCTGGACGGCCTTGAAGATAGTAAACATTTGGTCGGGTTGTGGTGACGGACTCAAAGTCGCCCCTCGGCTGTGTTGGTGGAGTGGTATTTGGGAATGGGTATTCGATGCGACGAGTTGACGATCTCTTGTCTACTGGGGCGGAGTTTGTAGGTGACAATGCCCAGTCTCGATTACGGACTGTCGTTTGTAGTTCGGTGAGAAGTACGTTTACATTCCCCAGTCTTCATTTGTGGTTCTTGTCGAGTCAATGAGTGGTTCGGGACTTGGATTTATACTTCGACATTTCAGATGGTTCTCGGTCGGAGGCGTGGGAGGTGCGACTAGGTGGCAGGCGAAGTTTCTCGTGTTTAAAGGTGAGCCGTAGGACACTTGCAAGGAGTCCCCAACAATAATGCCGCATTCTGTCGGTCGTTTATGACGAATGGCTTTACTAGAGGTTTTGGAAACCCTGACAGGATTGGGTCATTGACTATTCGCGTCCTCGCACGAATTGGATATTCTGCCGCAAAAATGCGTGATAAACAGAGGAGGAGTGCGGACGATAATGGCCTGCGGTATCCAAGTCACGAGTGGGCTACCCTTTTGTTTGGGGATGTCACATTTATTTGGTGTGAGCTAGCTGCGCAACGGAACCCTGCAAACAAGACAGAATCACGTCGCCTTACATTGTCTTTTCTGTTGGTGAAGTTGGCATGAGCCGGCTTTTAATAGTTTGTGAAGCTGCGTTGTCATAATGCTCGTCAGGCCTCGGGATGTGGAGGGTCGTGGTGAATAGCTCTGGGGCGAAAGGGCATGGATTCGGGCTGCTTAATGCGATGGTACAGGTCTCGGCGATCTTTCGAACGTTCCATACGGCAGGCAGCGCCGCGTTGGAAAGGCTTTGTTCGTATTTAAATCATGGTATTATCAATGACTGGGGGCTTTTGCCAAACAGCAACAGTGATCGTCGAATTGATCTCTGGCTGATACCTCATGTTTGCATTTGACACGGGCTGCCGGTTGTTTTGTGGTCTTCCAAGAACTTGGATTCAAAACGCCGCCATGATATGGTGTCCATACGTTCGGTTCTGCCTGGTGTTTCCTCTAGTACGTGCTTATTCAACGATTCGTATTGGTGCTGTGAGATGATTAGTGCAAGAGAACGAAGGGCGGGATGACTGGGTTGCGTGTCGTACAACAAGCTTCGCTTCGCCTCCCGAGGTTCAAGATATGGATCCCCAGAGTCGGACCTTCATTGCCCCAGAGTCGGACCTTTGATGATCGTGCTTGCACAGTACCATCGGTGATCTGCAGATGAGTTCAAAAATACGAAATTATCAACTTCAAAAAGAGAATTCTGTGTTCCGTTTTCTTCGTCCGTCGCCGTCCAGGGCATGTTATTATTTATCTAGGTAATACTCAGAAGCCCTGAACATGTCGAAGTCGTTCGTGGGCTGAACACGAAATGACATCTTTCAATCTTGTTGTGTGAATCTGCATTTCATTTCAGTATCCATGCAATGTTCAGTTAGGGTGTCGACATGTCAGAGTATTGGTGTTGCTAAAGTCTTCTTTCTCGTATCGGGCAGGATTAAATAGTCCTCGAAGTCGACCAGCTGTCTTTCTCAGAATTGCAGCAGAGAGAAGGCTCGCGTTGAGACAGGCCATCGTCCACGAATTTGTGCAATCTTGAACGTTGAAATTTTGAAGGTACGCTGTATATATTGAGACGTGGTCATTCACAATTTAGATCCAACCAAATTTGATAGACTGATGGGCCTCTCTGTTCGTCCTGCGGGGTTTCGATGTCGTTCCTGCAAACCAGCACAAGCTCGTGGAAATGGCTTGGAAGAAACGTTATAGAAACCATATTGTCTTCAGATCATTTAGAAATGGGGCCTGTCTGGTGTCCTTGGTGGTTGTCCAGTATTCACGCGTACTACTGGAGAGTCGGTTGACTTGCTCAAAACTTCCAGCATTCGTCAATAACTGACACATTTGCATAGGAATGGGTGGTAGCTTCGAATGCGTCTTGGAGAAGACGAAAATAAGAAAGAGCACGTTGCCAAAATTAGGTAGCTCTTGACAAGTTCATCATCATTATACATGGGAGCCGAGGTAGTCATGTTGGTGGTGCACAAGCAAAGATGCATAGTCATCCATGTCAAGAAATGGATGCGAAACCTTGCTTTCGATGCCGGAAAAAGACAAGTCATGGTGTTTTCCTGATGTGAAGTTATGGGTCATAAACATAAAGTACGTTCGGAGGCGTGTTTGGGCAAAGATCATTTCAAAACCTCAAAAAATTAAAATCTGAGGGATAAGGTGGTCGCCTTTCAAATGCCAGACCAAGGTCCGTTGGTACCGTTTTAAGTGCATTCCACATTCTCACACAAGCTTGACTTCCTGAGTGCTACATTGGTCCCAAAATTTCCTTCCACACTGACCACTGGCTTCTGTGAAAAACACCCCTGCTCTGCGATACTCACCAGGAGTGCTGGTAGGAAGTACAAGAAGACCCAAAAGTAAGTCTTGATGATGAATATCATCAGGTTCGCTTTTCCCCCCATCGTCATTGGGGAACTTGCTCGAAATGAGCACCATGAATAGCTGATCAACAGGGCCTTCGTCACAAATTTCTCCTTTCTCAGAGTCTTCGTCAGACGGCACAGAGTCAAGTCGCCAATCGGGACGTACATGCCCCAGAACTGTTCCATCATCTGCTAGTAGCTCGTACGGGATCACCGGACCCCACCACCGCGGTTTGTGACGCATTCTGGTTGATGGGGTTCCGCAAAGTTTGGTTGATAACACAAGATATCCGGCCCTGACCCTGCCATAGGGATTCAAACCGTCCAGGGTGATATAGCTTTCAAGCAACTTGAACTCTGGCTTGTAAGTTGTCTTTCCTTCAAAAAACCATGTTACGCCTCCTTCTGGGAGGGAAGCCCAGCTCCATGATGGTGCTGTATATGTTTCCTCTGTGACACTGCTCAGGTACTTAGTCACTGTTTCCCTTCCATCGAGTGACCAAAGCAATCCTTGATTCAGATCAGAGCTGAAGATACCGGCGAGGTAATTACCTCCAACCCTTTCGACCCAAATCTTTGCTAACGCAGATAGTGCCGGCAGGATGTCGTTCTGGTAAGTGAAAGACCGGTGAGAGTACTCGCTGACCAATTCCCGCCATTTGGAGAACATGCTCTTCGCAGATTCTACAGAATCTTCTTCCAGTACGTCGCTTAGAAACTCGGTCAGACTGTCACAAACCTCTTCAGGTGCCGTTGTGTGAATGGCCTCTTCGGACTGGATGAGTTCGTCGCCAGAACAGACATGGACCATTCTTTGTCCGAAGAGCAGCGACCTCTGACTCAAAACGACCTCCTGGAATGTCCAACCGCGTTCATTCCAATTGCACTCTTTATCATAGCTGTAAGGATCGTATATTCCCAAAAGAGAAAAATCTAAGTGTTTGTTGAACTCCTCGCCGATGATAAGGGGCAGGACGGTGGCATATTCTCTTGGCGAGGCAAATATGGAATAGCAGCCAGAAACAGATGGGTTGAGTGTCGATGCGAAGGAAACCTCGACAGAGTTTGAAGGATATCTGCGCGTAAGAAACCCATCTAGGCATGAGTCACCTTGAGCTGCGCAAACAGTCAAGAACGCATTGGCATAGACACTCCCCATTTGCTGAGCCTCGCGTTCCCAGTCGCTCTTGTCATCCTGAACAATGCAAAGAGAGTCTATCCAAACGTACCGCACCCCCAGAAAAACGCACAGCCGGATAGCATCTTGATGGGTTTTTGGAAATGTAGAGAAAGGTATCTGGCGGAGCCGGTCATCCAGTGTTGAGGTTTGTGTTGTCAGCTGGAGCTTAGCTTTCTCGGGTGGACCCCAGCAGTAGCTCAGTGCTACGTAGCGTTGATCTCCATCAATGTTTTGAAGCGGCGGGTAGTCCGCTGTGACCACAAGTCGAGGCTCTTCGTTCTCTATTCCTGGTCCTCGAAGGCCGGTATCGATAAGACGCGTCGGAAGGTCCTGATCATCGATGGCTGGAGGAAGACTCGGGATCTCGGAAATTGTTTCCATGAGCTCATTCAGACGTTGCATACCGGCTTTTGATAGAATATTTTCCTGGATCGGCTGGCGGGGTATAGAAAGCCACTGTGCGCATGGGTCTTGCTATCTGATTAGCTTAGCTCAAGATCGTGGTAGAACACCATTACCGGTGGGTTCAGCTTGTATCTCAAGCCGGAGCGTCCAGGATACGTCTTCTTCACCGCTGGTACGATTTAGAATCCTGAAGAACACGAACAAGGCATGAAGGCGTGGTCTATATGGCGGCTCGTCGACTACGTGTTTTTGCATGGCGTAGCAAAGCTTGTGAATGAAGAAGTCCGCATGCTCAAGCTCGACTCCTTGTAGAAATTTGGTGACCTCAGTCTTTATGAGCAGACAAAGTGCACAACCATTCTCGGCAGATTGAGACAGAACAGGCAAGTCTGGTACCACGTCTTTAAGGTCGTAGTCAAGGAAAAGGCATTGAGTGATGTCGCCATCATCCTTCGGGGCGAAGTAGGACTCGCCATTCGTCCAGACATTGACAGTTCCGTCGTAATCCGCATCGTTGAACTGGATGACTCGGCATTTGTTGCAGAGAAGAGACATAGTGGAAAGGTATGAAGTCCCTGAAGTGAGCTCCAAGGTGCAAAGTCAGGGGCCTTGAGAGGTCGTACTCTGGGGGTGGGGAGGCAGAACAAGTGTAGAATCTGATCATGGGTATGTGGAATCTTCAGATGGGCGGGGTTGGTAGAACGAGAGACAAATTGAGATGGATGGAATTGCGTCGTATAGAGGGAACATCTTATATGGCGCCAGTGGAAGGTGGAACAAGCCCACGGGTTAAACTTAGAAGATCGACGCTCAGCTCTAGCGAATAGCCAACTGTGTGGCCACGAATCCAAGTTTTCCAAGCGTGGCTAGCCTATGGACCCCTCGTCGAAGAAGGCAGGATGACAATTCTCAGTGGGGAAAGAGCTGCGGGATGAGCTGGCAGCGGCACATTGCGGGAGCGAAATATGATAACATTCTGGTGAGAATGCATTGGGTGGAACCGGGCGCGAGAGTGACAAGAATCTGCGGTTGTGATCTCAAAGGTATCGATAGTAGCAGACATTTGCGAGGCCGCTGCGCGGGCTCCATGCCTACTGCGAAGGATATAGAACCTGCAATTTTGGAAAAGGTTGTAGTCTATCCAAGACTCAAAGTGAATTTGCGGTATCGAAAAGCATGCCAGTTTCTCGTGGAGTAGATGAAACCCAACTAAGCTGTCACTTTTGCTACTTTCAATGGGGCGGGCCAAGATGCAAGCGCTAAGCAGGCTGCTAATTAGAGCAAAACTCAGGCGAGCTAGTTTAGCAAACGATCAAGCACTATTGAAGAAGCTGAAATGTGAACCTTGCCTTCTCCACCGCGAATGCCCGCCTGGCTGCCTCAAATTTCGCATGCAGCTGCAGCTGGGGAAGGTGGTAACAGTATATATCCTGTATTTTCCCACGGGTCATGAACAACAAGGCAGATCACTTGATCTGCCCGGCTAGCTCAATCGGTAGAGCGTGAGACTCTTAATCTCAAGGTTGTGGGTTCGACCCCCACGTCGGGCTCAATTCCCGTCCGCGATTGCGCGCACACGTATGTTTTGCCTATTTTTGATAAATAGCCACGTCCACCACCAACTCTCCTTTTTTTCCTTTTTTTTTTTTTTTTTTTTTTTTTCTTCCTTTTTTGGTTGACCTAGATCTCTACGACCTACCTAGTCGGACGACGACCGCAAGCTTTACTCAGGTCTGTAATGCAGTAACGCAACTAATCAAGGTAAGTCTCCACATCGGCTGGGGTATACTAGTTGCCGAGAGTTAAGCCAGCCATGGAACTTGACATCCAAGCTGCTGAAATTGACATTCGAGTCGTTGCTCATCCTGGCGGATCTCCCAGAAGAGCCATGAACGCGTCCCCCGCAGCTGATGTCCATGTAGAAGCTGCGGGACATTCTCCGCCCTTGACCTCGAAAGAGGAGGCCATTCCGAACCGATGTGGTCTGTGGATGGATTCAGAGGAACTTGTCATTGCTTCAGTGAGGAGGAGGGTTTTAAAAAAGCCATTCAAAGTTCACAGGAATGTCGTGAAGTTTTGGTACTTGGCCGCAAACTGGGGCCAACTGATTCCCGCTACGCATGACAAGAAGAAATTACAGCAGGTGTTGGCCGGAGGTCGCGCTGCATGCCACCTTCAGAGTCTTAGTAGCACGAGCTTCGATGACCTCAAGATCTTCGACAGTTCCCTGCGGGCCCTCATTCGGTGCGGCAACAACGAGGTGCAGCAAGAGGCCGAGAGCGGCGATGCTGATCTTGGAAATTTGCGTGAAGGGTTTGGATTTGGACGACAATTATGAGCTTTTCTGCGTAAGGTGGGATGTGAATGGGAATCATGAGGCCGATGCTCTAAATACTCCAAGCCAAGGTAAAGGTCCGCTGAGGTGAAGTATTTATGTTTTTCATATGCGTTTCCCCGGCCAGTCTTCGGCGTCACTCAGAGTCTGGCCCCGTAAGGCGAACTGCAGATGTTATCGCCTTCAACCCCACAGGACAAAGAGAACAGTCGGATATCCACCGAAAAAGCCCTCAAATGTCGGCAATAAAAGGTATTTTTGCCCTTTTGGCAGTGGCTTTTAATCATGACAATTCTGGCTGGGAGGGACCGGATCTTTACTTTCGATTCGCTGGTCACCTGAGATTTGCAGCAGGGTTGCAATCCTACTGCCGCCAAATCCACCACCTGACAACTTGCTCCCCACGGCCCTTCCTTGGCCCCATTGTCGGAGATTTATCCGCATCGAATAAGTCCATGCAAAGAAAACCGGCACATATGGAGGCATTTGCAGCCACCCGCACACCATCCGTCTGTGCCAGTCTACAGATAGGAGAGAATACTTTGAATCCCTTCGCACCGCATCTAGCATCGCATCCGAAGGATGCGGAAAGCTAGAATTTGCTGTTGGATTCCTTTCACAACGCTGCGTTTGATGATTAAATAGGGGTGCTTCTCTGCTCTGCCAATACTGCATGTCCATTGGAAACGCCCAACGCGAGGTCAGTGGATCAGCCGAGTCAGAGTCAAGTGAACATCAAATGAACGATGGATTTGATATAAATATGTACGGAAGAAGTAGACCTTGGAGAGAATTCATGCAATAGCGTAAACACCCCAAATGTGCATGTCAATTTATGTGCTTCGCAAAATGGTGCCCCGTTTCTGGCACTTCCAGGCTCTCTACGCTTAACATCTAATGCTTCACCTACATCTGAGGTCTCAGCCTCACGCGTCGTACTTCTTTTCTGACATCTTCATAGTATATATACTGATCTGTTAAGTGAGAGCCTCAACATAAAGACAGACGAAGGCAGCTTGCGGCTGCATGTACGCAAGGTCTCACCGGATTCAATTATGCTCATTTCATGGAAGGTTTAAGGAGCTGCTGCTTCAACTAAATTCCCGGAGGCATGGGGACAGTATCACTTTTCAAGCCTCTCTGTAGAATCATCAGTGTCTCTTTTATAAGACCCTCTTCCATTCGCATTTAGCACATGCCGCTTTGCTAGCATCTTAAGAAGGGTAATATGACGAGAAGCAGAAATGACTTTCTTGGTGGTATGTATTATAGTGCAATCATGAGAATCAGTTGATATCGGAGCAAATCAAGCTTCTTCAATGCCTTGATCGAAGGCTGTTGCGGGTGCTGTAAAGCGCAGCAAATACTGCTAACCAGTCTCACCCGAGTCCATTCCGATTGAAACTTCCCGCTGCGACAAGTCATCATGCCCTTTCAAAATTCATCACCCCTATTATCGAATGATTATACACAGCGTGTATAAGCCCTGGAAAGACTCTTATTGTGCGTTCACATCCGACCCATAGGTGACAGCCGCCGCTCCCTCAGAAGTAATGCAATTCATGCCAACGACTCAACTGCTGGTTGGCGGCCAAGTTCAAAAGCAAAATAGTTAATCAGTCTAATGCACTTAAATAGTTCGAAACTCGGCATTGTTACCGGGCAGATGAGACGCGCTTGGCTTGCCTATCCCCAAACCAAAGCTTGACTGCCACCCCTCGCGCCTTTTGTACCGTTCAGGATAGGATATAAACGGCGCTTGATGCTAAATAAAGAGCTTATTAAATCGAACTCAACTGGAATGCGGTTTTCTTGCGAAACAAGCAGACAACAATTGCAAGAGAGGTGGCTGCTTAGAAAGTACTTTGAACATTCCAAGTTTGATCCCCGTGCGCGCTCGAATTACCCGTCGTCCATCTTTTCCATCCCCCCAAACCCCCAAACCCCTACATCTGTATTTTGTCCTATTAAAAGCAGTGAAGACAGTCGGATGTATCCAGGGCACTACACTCGGTCACGACAGGTTCTAGAAACTGGGTGTCACATCTAGATGACCTTGTCGACCCCTCAAATGTGGGTAGCCGATGATTGTTAAGCCCGAAATTCCACGAGCATCCAGGCACTTAAAAGCTCTTCCGTCTGCTGAAAGCTCTACCAAAGCCACGGCTTTAATATGAGAGAATCTGCAAACATTAATGATAGATGCCTTATATAGGTATGTCCTTCCACACCTGCTCCAGTACGGGTGAACCAACCCAATCAGGACTCCAGGCCAAAGTTGCCTCAGCCACGTGCTGTTTCGGGTGAAAAGAGGAAGCCATCTTCAACATGTTCAATGCAGCATCTGACTTCAGCCCGCAGTCCAAGCGCCAAGCGAAATCCATCTACCGCCGCTCGTCTCTTCTCCCGTCAGTATATACATCCTCATAGACCCCTGGCTCGCTAACCCACCCAGCATCCACTGTCATTAGTATCTCTGGTAAGAAGAAGGACCTTGGTTGCACATCATAGAAACTTGGTTCTCCTTTCAGCAGAAGATATGACAACCAGAAACCTGCTTTCGAAGGATAGGGGAATTTGTCCCAAAAGCCAGAACTCTCGTCTGTCAATACAATATTTAAATAGTCTCGGGATTTAAAATGTCATGACCGACCACTCGCTCCACTGTGTGGCCGACCCTCACAAAGAATAGCTGTGTGATCCTGGCTGTCCTCGCTTCGAAGACCCTTTCTTCCCTTCTAACTTTTCTTCTTCGCAGTTTGCCGCCTGGAGGCGCACCTTGTTGACTGCTGTATGACTCTGACGGGGAAACATGTGGAGGGTCCTAGCGTAACCTCTATGGCTAACCCATGGGGTATATGAAGGGGATTTTTGAGCCGCCTGGCCAAGCTGGCAGAAGCGGCCCCCCATCACACGCTTTGAAGACACAAAGCAACCCCACACAAATTTCATTTCGATATAAAATAGAACAGATACGTCCCTCGGCGCCGATTCGCCCAAGGAGGCAAATTCTGAGAGTGTGTCCAAGTATAGTACGGGCTGTGATCCCAAGCCCTGACCGTACCAACCAAGTCAAAAGCAACACAGCCGTCAGATTCAAACCATCAAACTCGCCGTGAGCCCATCGCAAACCTTGGCGTCCTTCATCACCGTCGCCCATTGTATAGTCCAACTATCCATCCCTCGCGTCTCTGCTCTGTCACCCATACAACCTTCACGC